TTACAAATTTAAAAATCGCTATTTTTCGAAAATTTTTCAATTTTTTTTCTTAAAACTGCCATAACTTTTTAAAAATAATCAAATCAATATAATTTTTTTTTTTGTAGATGCATGATATCTTTACCTATCATTTGGTATATTTTTTTTTTATAAATTTGACCCTTCACCTGCCCACAGGTGGGGATTTAAAATGACAACTTTTTTACGAAAAATTAACTTTTGAAAGTGTTCCAGAAAGTTTGAAACTTTTATATATATCTCAAATAAAAGCTATTGTATTATACTTTATTATGGAAAAAATACATCAGAATTTATTTTGTCTTCATAGTGAAAACAGACATCAAATTTTAGAAATGCAAGGAGAGGTGCCGTGGTGCATGTTGTTTGCTGACGATAGTATAATATGAGAAAATAAAGAAGAAATTAATCAGGTGTGGAGATCAGCTTTTGATGAAAAAAGATTAAGAATAAGTAGAAGTAAGACAGAGTATTGTAGTGACTCAAAAAGAAAGAATAAAATAATTTAAAATTTAAATTATTTTATTCTTTCTTTTAATATTATTAATTATTGTATTAATAATATTATTACTCGGGATATGAGTACGAGGGTCTGCAAGAAAGGTAAAAGATAATAGAAAAATAAATTGATCTTTATTCTATTAATATGAGATTCATTATGATTAATTGTTAATTCGTTAATATCAATAATGCCATGAGTTTTGACGGTCATCGATGAGAGGTGGGATTGAGCGACCTTTTGTGTCTACCCAGAGTGGTATGGTGGCTATATACAGGGTGTTCAGTAAGTCAGGAAACGGGGTTCTATTGTTCTCATTGTTACAAACAATGAGAACAATAGAAACCCGTTTCCTGACTTACTGAACACCCTGTATATGAACCTCCAACCTAACTCCTGAAATAGACACGTATCATCGATATAACTCTGCCAAGTAACTCAGTACAAACATTATCGATTTATTAAATTTACTTGATATATTTTTTATCATTGATGATCACATGATTTTCCTGTATGCCTACTTAATCTACATATGTATGTACTCATAAAATTAAATTCTAAACCTTATATATTTTTGGTGAAATTATTATTTCCCTACCTTGATATTTTCTCCGACACTTTTAAATAAATAGATGTTGTATTCTTATACAACTATAATTGCGGAGGTTCACTTATCGCATATATTTCGTTATGTGGAATGATCGAGCGTAATGAGTGCCTCTATGAATATCTGACCGCATTTGATTCAGCGAGAGCATTCTGACCACCATCAGAGTGACATCTGAGCCAGAATGCTCATTATTTTGGGCTCTTTATATTAATTTGATCGTTAGTTCAAAGGTAAGAATTGGTCACGCTACCATTATTTCTTTATTAATCATAATTTATTACATTTTCGTCAATGATGATCTACATTTTATAATGTTCTACAGTTTGTTCTATAAAATCTTACATATTATTGATTACCTTATATCTAACACTTTATTATATTATTACATATTGTTTATTATTTCCTGTTTCTTTTATATAATTAATATATATTTTCTTCTACGAAATTTCAATAGTATATTTTAATATTTAAAAGGTACATATATATATATCTTATTTTAATTGGTTTACATTCCATTTTGTGTGATTAACTAATTGAAGTCTTAAATAATACATTATGACATTAATGTTATACTGTGTATATCATTACAGTATATAGAGTACAAGTTTGACAAAGAATAACATGAGATAGGTGAAATGTAGAGATCAGTGACAATAGGCGAGGACATGACAGAAGAAGTGGAAAGTTTTAAGTATTCAAGATTAGTTGTGCGTGCAAAAGAAGTTTGATATCGACAAAGATACAAAATACAGAATTATATTCGGGTGGGTGAAGTGGAGAGAAGTGTCAAGTGTGTTTTGCGATAAAAGTATTCCAATGAGGCTGAAAGGCAAATTCTACAAGACTTTAATGAGGCTAGCTATGGATGTATGGCTCAGAGTTTTGGGTGGTTGTCGAGAAAGTAGAGCAGAGAATGAGTGTAGTAGAGATGACGATGCTTAGATAGATAAGTGGAGTGACTAGAGAAGATAGGATAATTATTACAAAAGTTAGAAACATTATCGTATGTCAACTATGAGTGTTTCATGGTTAGCCAAGTTAAAAGTGATAACAATTATTAATTTGCGTGATTCTATCATTGTAATCAGATTATTATAGTAAATTCCTTGTTGATAAATGCAATTATTGATTATTATTCAAGTTTAAATTTATGATATACGAACTTATTTAATTAAAAACTCAACATGTTTTAGACAACGTTTTTATAATTTTTTTGGCGAAGTTTAAGAGGTATGATAGGCTAGGAACAAAGGAAGACGAGAAAAAAATCTATTGACTTGCAAAAGAGAGAAAAGGTCTAAAGATTATCATTATATAAGTTGTATAAAAAGTGTAAATAATAAGGTACTCACGAGTGATGATGATGTGAAAAATGGTGAAAGAGTATTTTGAAAAATTACGGAATAAGGAGTACCTAAAAGCGACATTAGAGGATATCTCGTGGAATGAGGGACTAGTAGATTTAATTAATGAGAAAAAGGTATGGGAGGGTGTGGCATCAATGAAAAAGAATAAAGAAGTGGGACCAGATGAAGTGCCAGAAAAAGTATGGAAAATATTAGGCGGTGTTGAAATAAATTGTTTGAAGAAACTCTTAACAATAACAGACAAATAATATAAAATATATTTTAAATATGGTTCTATATTGTAAAAATTGATTAAAAAAAAAAAAAGTATAAAATTTTATTCGATCATAAGTTATATGAGTTAGATCTGTTTTACTCTGTATAAAGGGAAAGTGTCCGATTTAAAATAAAAGTATGTCGAATGAAAGAAATATATAAATATTATTTCTCATAAAAAAATTGTATTGATTTAAGTTAAAAATGTAAAATATAAAATCGAGAATTTTAACACAAAAATAGCATACGGTAGCCATTTTCAAGATGCAAATCTTTCTATAATGTTTAATTTAAAAAAAATTGTTGGATAATTCCAAAAGCTACATGATCTGCTATTTCCTTATTAATATTCTGATTAAGATAAAGTGTGTCGAATGAAAAAGGGATTATTAAAAAAATATTATTTCTCATAAAAAAATTGTGTTGATCCATACACTTTTAAATAAGTTATAGCATTATTATGTTAATAATTTAAAAAATAAAATCGAGAATTTTCACACAAAAATAGCATTCGGTAGCCATTTTCACCATGAAGACAAAATAAAGTCAGAATTTTTTTTTTCATAATAAAGTACATTACATTAGCTTTAATTTAAGATATATATAAAAGTGTCAGACCTTCCGGAACATTTTCAAAAAATAAGTTGAAAAAGTTAATTTTTTGTAAAAAAGTTGTCATTTTGAATCCCTCCTGTAGGCAAGTAAAAGGTCAGATTTATAAAAAAAATTTATCAAATGATAGGTAAAGACATCATCTATAACAAAAAAATATATATTGATTTGGTCATTTTTAAAAAATTTATGGCAGTTTTAAGTAAAAGAAATTTCGAACATTTTTTCAATTTTTGAGGTTATAATTAATATAATAATAATACTAATAATAATAATAATAATAATAATGATGATAATAATAATAAAACATCATAGTAAAATTAATACCTTATTATCTTTGCATAGAAGCGAAAAAAAAAATTCATCTGATATAGCTTGGCGCCCAACAATCGAACATATGCATTATACGTAAACACACATTGTTTCCTATATATACTACAATCGATAAAAAAATATCAACAGTCATTAAATCGTCTCCTGCACATTTCATAGTAAAATTAATATGATTCGGGTTATTGTCATCTGTGTGTAATTTCCCTTGAATTTACATTTTACGACAAACCATTTGTAGTCTTCTCATTATAACAAAAAAATCCATGATCATACCTGTATATTTTTATTTTCGCCTTGTAGTTAAACGAATTTAAATAACTCATTAAAAAAAAAAAAATAATGAGCTTTTCTGACCTATAAGTAACAATATAATATTTATGATATTAACCAAAAAATAGTTATGGTAGAAAGTTCATATTTTATAGGCAAATGAACATCAAACTCAAATTGAAAGATCTATAAATATGGTTGTACTTGACGGATAAACCCCATTTTTGCACAACTCGTTTTCACACATTTTAATTAAAGTTATATTAGAAAATTTTAAGAAACAAAAAAAGATAGAAAAAATTAAAGACAAATTCAGAATCAGAGTCGAAATTTCATAAGGAATTTAGTAGTTGTTGTAATATCCGCGCATATTACTTTTAAATGATTCTTAAAATATTCGAATGAAAATTATAAAAAAAGTACAGTGTCACAAAAATTGTATTATGTACCAAACTGATATCATAAAAATTATCTGTACTTTAAATATATATATTTTCATGTAATAGTTATCTAAGTGATGATTACCGTGTAATAAATTGAAAAATAAGAGTAATAAAACAGTCTAAAATGCAGAACGGCATTCGAGATTATCATAATATTATGAGATAGGGTTTATCATCTATATAAAGTAAAAGGGCCTTGTAGATCAGTCAGAAGTGCAGTAGTTACTTAGTAGAGCAGAATGGCGTAGCAAATGGACACAAGGTAATTAAGTTACGCCTCCTGACACTTACAAATCTTATTTCGACATTCAAATAATTTCCATCTGACTAAAATTTTATTTTAAGAGTTTAAATGAAGACAACGAAAGGTGAGTCAATTTATGAACCCTTATAAACACATTTTATTGGCTAGTTTATTTTAATAACCTTATTAATTTTAAACCCTCGAACCATGACCACAATAAAATATAATAATTAATTATATGTAGTACCATACCGTTCTCTACTGCATCTAACTCTCATCATATAACGTTAATATTTTTATACTCTTTTTTTCTCTTTTTTATTTTATTATATTTTGAATTACTACATAGTATGTTGTATACAACAGAAAATTTTTAATTATGTATTATCTTATATCATTTTTACAAATTAAATATAATTAATTAGTTAAAGTACAATTAAAACAAATCTGTAGTTCTCTATTTATATTTTTTAATTTAAATATAATATTCCATCTTAATGTAGTCCGCATCTTCTGTATTTTTGGACAATACAACTATTTGATTTTCTTCCTCCGGTTCGTCTTTAGGTTCCATAATCATACCATCGTTTTCGAGTAACTTAGGTAAAATTTTTTTTTCTTTACTAATAGCTGTAATCAAATGATCATAAGGCATTTTTACAATTTCTATACTATTCATTATCTCCTTAGCATTAACAACATATGAATAACAACATGATTGTGCTATAATTAAGCATTGATCATAATCATCATCAGTAGTAAAGTTAAAACCAGTGGTTATAAATGTAAAACAAATATGATTGGCCATAGAATATCCAATTTTTGATGTATAATTTTCATCAACAATCTGTAGAATTACTCCATTCCATTGATTTAATAATTTTTTAAAATTAGGAGTAAATTTTTTTTTAGAATCTGTAATCAAAAAGTATTAAGCATTTTTATATAAAATTATTATAAAATATCAAAAATTATAAAAAGATCAAAAATTTAAATATAACAACTAGTTATCATATTAAAAAATAACAAAGGAAATTAATGAAACGTTAATCAAAACTGGGAGCCTATTTTTTTATTATGTTATTGCATGAGCTTTATAATTTTTTTAATAGTTTGAATAGGGTGGTATAATTCCTCTAGATTGAGCGAACTATAACCAATGATTAAATTGTGAAAGATGGTGAATAAAAGTTTATTTGAAAAAAATGTCTTTATATATATATATATATTTATAATAATGATGATACGCACGTGTGTACGGGTACGAAAACCAAAAATTAAATAAATGTAGTTTAAAAAAACTGAAAAACACGCTTTTGAAGCATATCGAACTAAAAACTTAAAAATAATTTTAAGCTTGTTTTAAAAATTATTTTTTACTTTTTAGTTCGATGTGCTTTAAAAGCGTGTTTTTTTAAACTATATTATTTTTAGCTTCGATGCGAAGCTGAGAAGGTATTAATTTTACTATGATGTGTTTTTTTTTTTTT